CGTGTTGCCAATTTTTTGACGGCCGACAAAAACGGCTCGACATTGCCAGTGCGAAACGGGCTGCTATACTGTGTGTCTTGACCCCTGCCGAACCCCGGAGAGTGACTCAACAAACCCCTGGGGTTCGATCGAACCCAGCTTAAGAACCTCTGATCTAAACGAACCGATCCGTGTCGACTCTCCAACGAGGTCCCTAGGATGTCCGGATCTCCTTTGACCAAGGACTCCGAGGTCAAGGCTCTGTTCCTGGGGTGATCGGGATTCTTGCACTCCGCAGCTCCAAGCTTTCGTTGCTAATAAGACAATCAGAATGGTTGGATATACAGGGCGTCCATAAAGTCTCCATATATTTTATTGAACTAACGGTATATATGTTTATTTGCAGGACTCTATGAATATGAATGCACAAGAACGTGTGATGATGGCAGAAAGACTTTCAATAGGATGGGGGGGAGGGAGGGCTCCTTGTCATCACGCAACCGTCAAGTCGGGAAAAACTTTCACGAACTTTGTCCAAATCGCTGGAGTGGATGCGGCGGCGGTGGCAACAACAGGCCCCGGACGGCTCCGTCTCCAGGTTTCACGCCTTTTTTATGTCTTGCATGGGGCTTCATGAAGTGAGATCATGCATTGAACGAGAGGTATGGACCTGCGAGATTGACCAGATATTGGGGGGCAGAAGTTACAAAAATAACTTCGCAGATACTGCAAAATGTTGTGTGCCGTCAATGCAGCCGACAGATATGAGCTGTGCAGAGACATTGACGGTGCTCGTGCTTAAGTGGTGTTAATAAATATGCCTCTGATTATATTATGGCATAATTTTCCCTAAATTGCTTTGGTTTCAATAACGTAGATAGGATTTCGCGACACCCTTGATGTACGGCTGTCTCGAGAAGTCAGCTCTGTAGAGCGGCCTTCACCCCCGCTAGTTCTGGCTCGTGTACCCTGCGGGTTGTGTTTATTTCCTGGCTCTCCATACACGGTGGTGGTGGTGGTGGCGGCGGCGGCACGTTGGTGTTGACATCTATGTATGAAATTACAAATGTAAATCATTGTTTATTATTTTCGGGAGGCCGCACCAGTCTGGTCGGCGTAGAAAAGTAGACCAAACGCCCACATGACTGTGGATCTCTGGAACAGCCTGGAGCGGTGACCCCTTCTGCCAGCAGTGGGCGCGAGCCGACAATTGCAGGGTTGCGTCTTTACCATTTTCCTTGGAAATATTAATCTCTTTAAGAAATGCCGGGGCACAATGAAAGTGAATGTTGTTTCGCTCGACTATGTAAATCCGCTTAGCCGTCGCCATTCCAATCGCGAGGCGTGCGTGCCAAGCGGTCGCGCGCCGGACCGACCCCGTGCCAGATCAACCCCGGCGTGGACACCGGGGGGCACGCGCCTCGCCCACACCGGCCAAGACGTCGCGCCGAACGGTGGACGGGGTTACCTACCCCACCGCGCGCGCCCTGCCGATCACCTGTGGTGGGACCCAGGCCCACTGCTGGGTGGGCAGAGATGGCGGCACCAGAGGAGGGAGGGGTTTAACTAAACGCGCACCGCTCTTTCAGCTGCCTCGCCGGGAGATAGAAACCTAACCGTGCAGCGACGGCGATAGCTGGCCACGCGGTGCGACAGACGTTCTGTGGTGCCGCCGCAACGGAGCCGCTCCGTCGGGGCCGTACCCACCGGCGTGAAGCCGCCACCAAGGAGCGACGGCACTGACGCTGCTCGCCCCTCGCCGCCCCCCACATGAACGCACGCACATCCCACACCCCCACACATGCACACCCCCCACACGCACACCCCACACATGCACACCCCACACACGCACACCCCACACACGCACACCCCCCACACGCACACCCCACACACGCACACCCCACACATGCACACCCCACACACGCACACCCCACACACGCACACCCCACACACGCACACCCCACACATGCACACCCCCCACACGCACACCCCACACACGCACACCCCACACATGCACACCCCACACACGCACACCCCACACACGCACACCCCACACACCCCACACCCCACACACGCACACCCCACACACGCACACCCCACACATGCACACCCCACACACGCACACCCCACACACGCACACCCCACACACCCCACACCCCACACACGCACACCCCACACACGCACACCCCACACACGCAGACCCCACACACGCACACCCCACACACGCACACCCCACACACGCACACCCCACACACCCCACACACGCACACCCCACACACGCACAACCCACACACACACACCCCACATAGAGCCCGAGGAGAAGTCACCTGGCCGGCAGGTTTTCGTCCAGAAAGCCCCTACTGGGATCAAGCTTCACGGTTTCCTACGGCCAGGGAATTGGGCGACCTACCCCGAGGCTGACGGGCACCGCGGCGCCGTGACCTGGGAGTGTAATCGCGTCGTCACGGCAGGGGCTGTTGAGCCACCGCGGATGGGACCACGCACACGCAACACGGGTCAGTGGGCTGGTAGCGGGAGGAGCAGAAAGCGGACGTCGAGGGGACCACTGCGGTGACGTCACCAGAGCTGGGATCCGACTATCAAAAGAGCTTGAAAATCCGGGCCCCTGATTGGACGGGAGGCCAGGGGGCGGGGCAGCGCGGTGCCCTTTGATGTGAGAACGATGAAAGAGGGTGAACCAGGGAGTGAGGGGAGCAGTGTTCGTGAAGGCCTCGAGATCAGCGGAGTGGTGGGCCAGCCGTTCGAGTCGTCCGTGTGACGAGCATTCAGCGCAGCGTCGGGTGGTGGTGGATTAACGACACATTTATATTCATGAGATCTAACGTGCTACGTGGTGTTTAACTGACCTCCTCCTGCATTGTCGCTTTAAAGGGTAAAGCCGATCGCTGCTTCACCAGGGTCGCGGCGGTGGTGGCCGCGATGAGAACAGAGCTAACAGTGTGTGGTGGTGAAGCGCCACCTACAGACTCAGAGCAGTTTGTAGCTTCACGAATCGCCTGTCCACGATTCATCTCTTGCGCGATGAGCTCCACGAGAGAGATATGAGATAGACGAGAGATATGAGATACACAATAGAGATATGAGATACACGAGAGAGATATGAGATACACGAGAGTGATATGAGATACACGAGATATGAGATACACGAGAGATATGAGATAGACGAGAGAGATATGAGATACACAATAGAGATATGAGATACACGAGAGAGATATGAGATACACGAGAGAGATATGAGATACACGAGAGAGATATGAGATACACGACAGTGATATGAGATACACGAGAGAGATATGAGATACACGAGAGAGATATGAGATACACGAGAGATATGAGATACACGAGAGAGATATGAGATACACGAGAGTGATGAGATACACGAGAGAGATATGAGATACACGAGAGTGATATGAGATACACGAGAGAGATATGAGATACACGAGTGAGATATGAGATACACGAGAGTGATGAGATACACGAGAGAGATATGAGATACACGAGAGAGATATGAGATACACAAGAGAGATATGAGATACACGAGAGAGATGGGATACACGAGAGAAATGAGATACACGAGAGAGATGAGATACACGAGATATGAGATACACGAGAGTGATATGAGATACACGAGAGAGATATGAGATACACGAGAGTGATGAGATACACGAGAGATATGAGATACACGAGAGTGATATGAGATACACGAGAGAGATATGAGATACACGAGAGTGATATGAGATACACGAGAGTGATATGAGATACACGAGAGAGATATGAGATACACCAGAGAGATATGAGATACACGAGAGAGATATGAGATACACGAGAGAGATGAGATACACGAGAGAGATATGAGATACACGACAGAGATATGAGATACACGAGAGAGATATGAGATACACCAGAGAGATATGAGATACACGAGAGAGATATGAGATACACGAGAGAGATATGAGATACACGACAGTGATATGAGATACACGAGAGAGATATGAGATACACGAGAGAGATATGAGATACACGAGAGAGATATGAGATACACGAGAGAGATATGAGATACACGAGAGAGATATGAGATACACGAGAGAGATATGAGATACACGACAGTGATATGAGATACACGACAGTGATATGAGATACACGACAGTGATATGAGATACACGAGAGAGATGAGATACACGAGAGAGATATGAGATACACGAGAGAGATATGAGATACACGAGAGAGATATGAGATACACGAGAGAGATATGAGATACACGAGAGAGATATGAGATACACGAGAGTGATAAGATACAGGAGAGAGATATGAGATACACGAGAGAGATATGAGATACACGAGAGAGATATGAGATACACGAGAGATATGAGATACACGACAGTGATATGAGATACACGAGAGAGATGAGATACACGAGAGTGATGAGATACAGGAGAGAGATATGAGATACACGACAGTGCTATGAGATACACGAGAGAGATATGAGATACACGAGAGTGATATGAGATACACGAGAGAGATATGAGATACACGACAGTGATATGAGATACACGAGAGAGATATGAGATACACGAGAGAGATATGAGATACACGAGAGAGATATGAGATACACGAGAGAGATATGAGATACACGAGAGTGATATGAGATACACGAGAGAGATATGATACACGAGAGAGATATGAGATACACGAGAGAGATATGAGATACACGAGAGAGATATGAGATACACGAGAGAGATATGAGATACACGAGATTGATGAGATACTCGACAAGAACCGCGTCATCCGCCTCTGCTCTCTCAGCAGTACCCGTTACGTAAAACTCATTCGGTGCACGAATTGCAGCGGCGTGTCAGACTCAGAGAATATTTATTTGTACTGCAGGAGGGGCAGAGGGTCGGAACGTTACAACAACAAACATTACGACAACATGATAGAAGTGTAGGAAAGGTAAACAAATAAAAATATATACAAATATAACTACTTTATTTATATTTTAACAGGTAAAGCCAACTGGCCTATGAGATTATTTTTCAGAAGCGACCTGACCACAAATGATAGCTCTACAAAGCAGCTTATCGCGTGCAGGTGAATACTCTAGACCAGTGGTTCTTAACCTTAACTGCAGCCTGCACCCCTTATTAAGATGTGTAATGTTAATCAACACATAGGGTTTGATGAAACAACGTTGTTCTACTTGCGTGCCCATGCTTCATTTGTGGTTTAGATTATTTACTTTCTTACAAAAACCTGCCCATGTCTCGCACCCACGGAAAGGGCATCTCGCCCCCCCAGGGGTTGCGTGGTGAGCCCCGTGTCAAGAAGAACCACTGGGCTAAAAGAGAGCGGGGGGTGGGGGGGGGGGAGAGAATCTCTCCGGCGAGGCTCTGGACCACCGGCCAGGCGTGGCCCCACGGACGCCCTTCCGCCGCTGGGTCCCCTGGCACGAGCTCGATGCGGAAGGCCGCCCAAGAAGGTGGCTTAGAGACGGTGACGACGACGACGACGACGAGATGAGGTTGGACTTCACGCGTCGCCGCTCCCAGTGGCCCCCGTGGCCCCCGTGGCCCCCGCATCGTTGTGGTCATCGCCGGCTGCTGCTGCTGCTTCTGCGGTGAACACGCGCTCCAGGCGGCGTAGACGCGCGCGTATCTTCTTGTCGCCGGACTTGTGCTCGGCCAGCAGGCGCGCAACCTTGGTCTGCAGGGCACGCACCGCCCCATCCAGCGTCTCCACCTGCACGCACGCACAGTGAGGGGCGGTGTCACGTGGTTCACGGGAGGCTCCGGCTGGGTTAGATAGAGGGGGGGTGGAGATGCGTGAGCGAAAGAGGTGGGTTTCAGAGTGTCACGTGGTTCACGGGAGGCTCCGGCTGGGTTAGATAGAGGGGGGGTGGAGATGCGTGAGCGAGAGAGGTGGGTTTCAGAGTGTCACGTGGTTCACGGGAGGCTCCGGCTGGTCACCGTGCTCTCCAGCTGGTGTGGCTCGGCGCGTGCTCCCTCCATCTCGGTGTCCAGGAGGCCCATCTTGGCCAGGATCTGCTTCCCCTTCTCCTCCAGCATGTTGCCAGCCGCTGGGAACTCTCGCAGCACCTCCTGCAGGTCCTCCTTGGACAGGCAGAAGAGGTCCGAGTAGCCGATGCTGCGGATGTTGGCCGTGCGCCGGTTCCCGGCCTTGCTGCCTACCACCGCCGGCGTTGGGCAGGGAGAGAGTGCGGGGAGAGAGTGCGGGGAGAGAGGGTGGGGAGAGAGTGCGGGGAGCGTCACGGCGACACGCTCTCGCTAAGTCGCTTCGGGCCCGAACAATACAGAAAGCCCTGCCGGGATTTTTTTTACGAAAAGTAAAAAAATATATGAAGGGGGACTGCACTGGACCAACTTAAATATTTGCCACCAGGTGAACGATCAAACGTTGCTCGAACATTGACTGATCTTGGGCCACCGCTGGCCTAACATTTCCCAAGTGCCAATGTTTATACATCGCACCGGGTGCTCATTTGAGGCTGAGTCGACCTAGAGGAAGCCCAGGACCGGCTCAGATTAATCGTCACCAGTGTTGCCAGTTAACCGCTGCGTGACCACTCCACCCAATCACGGTGGTTTAACTCCCCCGCCTGGTATACACGAGGTTATGGGTTCGATCCCGACTGTGACACCTGTACATTTTGAGTGTACGTGTCTCTCTGTCTCTGTGGTAGCGTGGAATTTTTTCTGGGTCCTCCGGTTTTTCCATCCACATTTGGAATCAATATCACACGTTCAGAGTATTTGGCTGCTATAAACGTTCACTTTATAAGCCACTTCGTTGAGCTATCGTTTGTATCCAGGTCGCTTCTGAAAAAAGAGTTTCATAGCTCAATGGGACCTTACCTGGTAAAATAAAAATAGCTTAATAATGTAATAGGTGAGTGCGGTCGTGGTGAAGGCTGCTGCGCCCAGCAGGGTGACGCGGATCGTTGCCGCTCCTCACCAGAACTAAACCTCCCCGCTGTGCAAGTCACACTGTGTACACAGCAAGTCCACGGTGTACACTGCGAGTCCACTGTGTACACAGCAAGTACCATGGTGTACACAGCGAGTACCACGGTGTACACAGCAAGTCCACGGTGTACACAGCAAGTCACACGGTGTACACAGCAAGTCCATAGTGTACACAGCAAGTCACATGGTGTACACGGCAAGTCACATGGTGTACACAGCAAGTCACATGGTGTACACAGCGAGTCACATGGTGTACACAGCAAGTCCATGGTGTACACAGCAAGTCACATGGTGTACACAGCAAGTCACATGGTGTACACAGCAAGTCTCATGGTGTACACAGCAAGTCCATGGTGTACACAGCAAGTCACATGGTGTACACGGCAAGTCTCATGGTGTACACAGCAAGTCTCATGGTGTACACAGCAAGTCACACGGTGTACACAGCAAGTCACACGGTGTACACAGCAAGTCTCATGGTGTACACAGCAAGTCACACGGTGTACACGGCAAGTCACATGGTGTACACAGCAAGTCACACGGTGTACACAGCAAGTCCATGGTGTACACAGCAAGTCACACGGTGTACACGGCAAGTCACATGGTGTACACGGCAAGTCACACGGTGTACACGGCAAGTCACACGGTGTACACGGCAAGTCTCACGGTGTACACGGCAAGTCTCACGGTGTACACGGCAAGTCACACGGTGTACACAGCAAGTCCATAGTGTACACAGCAAGTCCATAGTGTACACAGCAAGTCACATGGTGTACACAGCAAGTCACATGGTGTACACGGCAAGTCTCATGGTGTACACAGCAAGTCACGGTGTACACAGCAAGTCTCATGGTGTACACAGCAAGTCACACGGTGTACACAGCAAGTCACACGGTGTACACAGCAAGTCTCATGGTGTACACAGCAAGTCACACGGTGTACACGGCAAGTCACATGGTGTACACGGCAAGTCACACGGTGTACACAGCAAGTCCATGGTGTACACAGCAAGTCACACGGTGTACACGGCAAGTCACATGGTGTACACGGCAAGTCCCATGGTGTACACGGCAAGTCACACGGTGTACACGGCAAGTCACACGGTGTACACGGCAAGTCTCACGGTGTACACGGCAAGTCTCACGGTGTACACGGCAAGTCACACGGTGTACACAGCAAGTCCATAGTGTACACAGCAAGTCCATAGTGTACACGGCAAGTCACATGGTGTACACGGCAAGTCACATGGTGTACACAGCGAGTCACATGGTGTACACAGCGAGTCACATGGTGTACACAGCAAGTCTCATGGTGTACACAGCAAGTCCATGGTGTACACAGCAAGTCACATGGTGTACACGGCAAGTCTCATGGTGTACACAGCAAGTCTCATGGTGTACACAGCAAGTCACACGGTGTACACAGCAAGTCACATGGTGTACACGGCAAGTCTCATGGTGTACACAGCAAGTCACACGGTGTACACAGCAAGTCTCATGGTGTACACGGCAAGTCACACGGTGTACACGGCAAGTCACATGGTGTACACAGCAAGTCCACGGTGTACACAGCGAGTCACATGGTGTACACAGCGAGTCCACGGTGTACACAGCGAGTCCACGGTGTACACAGCGAGTCACATGGTGTACACAACGAGTCCACGGTGTACACGGCAAGTCCCACGGTGTACACGGCAAGTCCCACGGTGTACACGGCAAGTCCCACGGTGTACACGGCAAGTCCCACGGTGTACACGGCAAGTCACACGGTGTACACAGCGAGTCCACGGTGTACACAGCGAGTCCCACGGTGTACACAGCAAGTCCCACGGTGTACACAGCAAGTCACACGGTGTACACAGCAAGTCCACGGTGTACACAGCAAGTCACATGGTGTACACAGGAATATTCACAAATATTTTACCGTGCGTCTTACGTTTACGTCGGCCCCATTGCTCTATAATTTCCTCAAAGAGGGGTGGGTGGTGGATCACCCAACTTTATGCTTCTGCTCTATGGATGCGATAGCCAGGATGCACTTTAATCATTCGGGCTTGGTCCACGATAGACCGCGACTACATTTGTATTAATATTTTTTGTTGAATAACTTTTCTTAACATTGTTACTTGTTTATCTTGTTGATTCGGGGCCCCCCTTTTGTGGCCCAACTGGGTCCCCTATGCGTCGCATCACGCTCCCACATACCCCACCCCCCGCTCCACCACCCGAGTTGCGTGCCCCTGGGCCTGCGAGTAAGAGGAGCCACTGCCCGCCAGTGTCTGCGACTCCGCCAGTGACCCACCGGGTATCTTGAGGATGCTGATCTCCCCGAAGTAGCTGCCGTCCCCCAGCACGGCATACTGCGTCACTCCGTCGTCGGCCACCACCGCCAGCTTGCCCTCCTTAATGAAGTACATCTCCCGGCCGATGTCGCCCTTGCGGCAAACGTAGTCGCCGGGGCTGTACAGCTTGGGTCGTAGCTTCAGCACGAGCTCCTCCAGCAGGCCCAGCTCGCAGTTCTTGAAGATCTCCACCTTCTGCAGCGTCTGCATGTGCACGTTGATGGCGATGGCGGTGCGCAGCGTCACGGGCAGCTCCCTGAGGACGTCCTCCTCGCCCAACGACTTGTTACTGAGATGCAGGTATTCGTACCACTCCACCACCTGCACCGTCACACGCAGAGAGGACTTGTTACTGAGATGCAGGTATTCGTCCCACTCCACCACCTGCACCGTCACACGCAGAGAGGACTTGTTACTGAGATGCAGGTATTCGTCCCACTCCACCACCTGCACCGTCACACGCAGAGAGGACTTGTTACTGAGATGCAGGTATTCGTCCCACTCCACCACCTGCACCGTCACACGCAGAGAGGACTTGTTACTGAGATGCAGGTATTCGTCCCACTCCACCACCTGCACCGTCACACGCAGAGAGGACTTGTTACTGATATGCAGGTCACACGCAGCGGCCGGGAATTCAGAGGAGGCACCATAATCTCTGCCATCCGTCCACTGCTGCCAACTATTGCCAGTGGTGCCTATTAAAAGTAAAACAATTCCGTGCGGACATCGGTGAAGGTCTCTCAGTCTTTTTTTAGGCGTAACATCACTCGCTGCTATTGGCCACGTACAGAATCGGGAGATGTCAAAGTGGTACCACCACCTGCGGTAGCATCATCACTCCGAGTGTCTCGTCCCATGGACTCTGTGATGATTCCGGGTCCTCACGGCCACACCGTGCTTACTCACAGCTGAGGTGGTGCACCGCTGCTAGTGTGGCAGCAATGTCATCAAATAATTTGCGTATGTTTTTATCATTGAAGGGTTTATCTGTTACTCAATGGTTACCGATAGGTAACTATTCGCACGCCAATTAAAATTTGCTCATGCGTTTCTTTTTTACTTAAATATCATCAGGCCTCATGTGTAAAGTGCAGTCTTCAACTCTCATCTCGGAGGATGTAGAGCAAAGCGAACTCTGTCTCTGTCGAAGCCCAATCATGGTGCCAGCAACAGCAGCACCTCCGATTGGCTACGTACGGAGTGAAAGAAGTTCAACAAACATGCACACATCTGGCTCCTGCTGCTGCTGCCATCAACCGCACGATGCCGAAAATAAAGTCAACTCTCATCCACTCTCTCTCTATCCTCTCTATGTGCTGCGGAGAAAGGTCGTCGCCCAAAACGTCACCTCCTATATATATTTTAATATTTTTTCTCCTTTGAAGGCCACGGAGATTTTGACGAACGCGGCATCGAGAGCTTCGGCATCATCGCCTGGCGGTTTCAAATGTGCTTCTGTGGCCGTCCGGAATGCTCTTCCTTCCGATATTAGGTAGCCACTGGGAGCTACGTACATTTATATCATCATCTAGATTGACAAATTCATTTGTTTACAACTGCTTCACGTGGTTAGTTTGTTGTCCTTCCCCCCGCAACTCTAATTAGCGTGGTTGGCTACGTGCGGTGCGACGAAAGTTCAACAACAACAACAACAACCATTCAGCACTAAGTGGCGGTGACGTCATCGTGGCGCTTGTGCCAAGCGAAATGCATTTTTGGTCCGGAATAGCAACCCCCTACCACCTCAGTGGTGCTGGACAGTAACGCTGTGGTGAGCCATGCCATGGGGGGGAAGGCCAATTTCAGTTGGCTATTCCCCTCACGGTGTTTGTAGCCACCACAGCGGCCAACGGGGGCTCTGGACGGGTGCAAGGGGCTGGTAACCCCTCCACCTTCAATTTAATTACCACTAAACTACGTGGAAATAATCTAACCCAGCTTGAAGGAAGTTCAACGGACACACGCCCGTGCACTGCGCGCCGGGCCCCACCTTGCGGTCCACGTCCTTCCCGATGGCGCGAAAGCGCACGTAGTCCTTGACCTCGTTGAACTCGGCCAGGAACCTGTCGCCGGCCTCGTTTACGCTGGCGCAGATGCTCGCCACGTTGCCCAGGATGGTGGCGAACACGAAGATGGTGATGAGGAAGTCGACGACCACGAAGAGGTACTCGGCCTCGCGCTCCGCCTTGGGGATGTTGCCGATGGTGAGCAGGATCAGCGTGGAGAAGTAGATGCAGAACATGTACTGGCGGCCCGTGCCGCCGAAGCCCGGCGTCTCATGGGCCGGGTACACCCAGCCGTCCTGCCCAAAGCCGATGTAGGCGGACAGCAGGTAGTAGAAGCAGGCGTTCCAGTGCACCATCAGGTAGATGTACACCACCAGCTTGATGATGCGGAATGTCTTGGGGTAGTTGGTGTGTGTCTCCACCTGGGACCGGTCAGTTGGGTTGGTGGTGGTGATGGGGGGAGAACACGAAGCAAAGGTGCAGCCCTGCTGCACCTAAACCAGGGGTGGGGAACCTTTTTCTGCCAAGGGCCATTTGCATATTTATAACATCATTCGCGGGCCATACAAAATTATCAACTTAAAAATTAGCCTGTTATATTTGGTCAACCATTTAATTAACTCACCCCTAATGTGATGGCTGGAACTGCTTCTCTTTGGCAAGGCGTGTGAAGATGTTAGCTGATATTGACGATGTTGCTACTCGCAATTGCTTTTCCAGGTTTGCTTCTAGATTTATTGAATTTCGAGTCCCGCCTACGGTTGCCTTGGCAGGGCCACACCAAATCATTTTGCGGGCCTCATTCGGCCCACGGGCCGGACGTTCCCCACCCCTGGCCTAAACCACAGGGGGCTCTAATACGCCCCCTTTCCCGAGCAAATGTGTTGTAAATATCACCAGATCTGCATCCCGTCTCCATGTGTAAATAAGCATGGTTATATCAAACAAGCCCCTTGACTTTTCACACCAACATCAGGCATGCAAAGCCTGGACTGGTTTCAGCCTCCCAGGTGTGGTCAGGTGCCGCTCGACGATGTTCGTCTGGAAGCACAGATGTGCGCGTGGGACTCGCAAACCCGCCGTGCACGCTGGGAGACTCGAGCTCGGCTTCACCTCACTTTCACCCACAATGCAACACCGCGGTAGGCATCCTGGGGGGTGGTGAGATGGAGCAGTGGTACGGGGTCTGTTCTGTAATTGCAGGGACTGACGAGATGATTGGTGGCTCAGAGCGCTGAGCCGGCACCTCTGAGAATGCTGGATTTTAATTCAGGTTTCAGCCACCCAGCCACCACCTCCACATTAACCCAACCACCACCTCCACATGAACGCAGCCACCATCTCCACATTAACCCAGCCACCACCTCCACATTAACCCAGCCACCACCTCCACATTAACCCAGCCACCACCTCCACATTAACCCAGCCACCACCTCCACATTAACCCAGCCACCACCTTCACATTAACACAGCCACCACCTCCATGTAACCCAGCCACCAATTCCACATGAACGCAGCCACCACCTCCACATTAATCCAGCCACCACCTCCACGTGAACCCAGCCACCACCTCCACGTGAACCCAGCCACCAGCTCCACATGAACGCAGCCACCACCTCCACATTAACCCAGCCACCACCTCCACATTAACACAGCCACCACCTCCACATTAACCCAGCCACCACCTCCACATTAACACAACCACCACCTCCACGTAAACCCAGCCACCAATTCCACATGAACGCAGCCACCACCTCCACATTAACCAAATCACCACCTCCACGTGAACACAGCCACCACCTCCACATTAACCCAGCCACCACCTCCACATTAACCCAGCCACCACCTCCACGTGAACCCAGCCACCAACTCCACATGAACGCAGTCACCACCTCCACATTAACCCTGCCACCACCTCCCCATTAACCCAGCCACCACCTCCACATTAACCAAATCAGCACCTCCACATAAACACAGCCACAACCTCCACATGAATGTAGCCACCACCTCCTCCACATTAACCCAACCACCATCTCCACATTTACTCAGCCACCACCTCCACGTATACCCAGCCACCAACTCCACATTAACCCAGCCACCACCTCCACGTGAACGCAGCCACCACCTCCACATTAACCCAGCCACCACCTCCACATTAACCCAGCCACCACTTCCACATTAATCCAGCCACCTCCTCCACATTAACCCAGCCACCAACTCCACATTAACCCAGCCACCACCTCCACATTAACCCAGCCACCACCTCCACATTAACCCAGCCACCACCTCCACGTAAACCCAGCCACCAACTCCACATGAACGCAGCCACCACCTCCACGTATACCCAGCCACCAACTCCACATTAACCCAGCCACCACCTCCACGTGAACGCAGCCACCACCTCCACATTAACCCAGCCACCACCTCCACATTAACCCAGCCACCACTTCCACATTAACCCAGCCACCTCCTCCACATTAATCCAGCCACCAACTCCACATTAACCCAGCCACCACCTCCACATTAACCCAGCCACCACCTCCACATTAACCCAGCCACCACCTCCACGTAAACCCAGCCACCAACTCCACATGAACGCAGCCACCTCCTCCACATTAACCCAGCCACCAACTCCACATTAACCCAGCCACCACCTCCACATTAACACAGCCACCACCTCCACGCAAACCCAGCCACTAATTCCACATGAACGCAGCCACCACCTCCTCATTAACCAAATCACCACCTCCACGTGAACACAGCCACCTCCTCCACATTAACCCAGCCACCACCTCCACATTAACCCAGCCACCACCTCCACGTGAACCCAGCCACCAACTCCACATGAACGCAGTCACCACCTCCACATTAACCCTGCCACCACCTCCCCATTAACCCAGCCACCACCTCCACATTAACCAAATCAGCACCTCCACATAAACACAGCCACAACCTCCACATGAATGTAGCCACCACCTCCTCCACATTAACCCAACCACCATCTCCACATTTACTCAGCCACCACCTCCACGTATACCCAGCCACCAACTCCACATTACCCAGCCACCACCTCCACGTGAACGCAGCCACCACCTCCACATTAACCCAGCCACCACCTCCACATTAACCCAGCCACCACTTCCACATTAACCCAGCCACCTCCTCCACATTAACCCAGCCACCAACTCCACATTAACCCAGCCACCACCTCCACATTAACCCAGCCACCAACTCCACATTAACCCAGCCACCACCTCCACGTGAACGCAGCCACCACCTCCACATTAACCCAGCCACCACCTCCACATTAACCCAGCCACCACTTCCACATTAACCCAGCCACCTCCTCCACATTAACCCAGCCACCAACTCCACATTAACCCAGCCACCACCTCCACATTAACCCAGCCACCACCTCCACATTAACCCAGCCACCACCTCCACGTAAACCCAGCCACCAACTCCACATGAACGCAGCCACCACCTCCACATTAACCCAGCCACCACCTCCACGTAAACCCAGCCACCAACTCCACATGAACGCAGCCACCACCTCCACATTAACCCAGCCATCACCTCCACATTAACCCAGCCACCACCTCCACATTAACCCAGCCACCACCTCCACATTAACCCAGCCACCACCTCCACATTAACCCAGCCACCACCACCACATTAACCCAGCCACCTCCTCCACATTAACCCAGCCACCACCTCCACATTAACCCAGCCACCAACTCCACATTAACCCAGCCACCACCTCCACATTAACCCAGCCACCACCTCCACATTAACCCAGCCACCACCTCCACATTAACCCAGCCACCACCTCCACGTAAACCCAGCCACCAACTCCACATGAACGCAGCCACCACCTCCACATTAACCCAGCCACCACCTTCACATTAACCCAGCCACCACCTCCACATTAACCCAGCCACCACCTCCACATTAACCCAGCCACTACCTCCACATTAACCCAGCCACCACCTCCACGTGAACCCAGCCACCACCTCCACGTGAACCCAGCCACCAACTCCACATGAACGCAGCCACCATCTCCACATTAACCCAGCCACCACCTCCATATTAACCCAGCCACCACCTCCACATTAACCCAGCCACCATCTCCACATTAACCCAGCCACCACCTCCACATTAACCCAGCCACCACCTCCACATTAACCCAGCCACCAACTCCACATGAATGCAACCACCACCTCCACATTAACCCAGCCATCACCTCCACATTAACCCAGCCACCACCTCCACATTAACCCAGCCACCACCTCCACATTAACTCAGCCACCACCTCCACATTAACCCAGCCACCACCTCCACATTAACCCAGCCACCACCTCCACATTAACCCAGACACCACCTCCACATTAACCCAGCCACCACCTCCACATTAACCCAGCCACCACCTCCACATTAACCAAGCCACCACCTCTATGTGAACCCAGCCACTACCTCCACGTGAACCCAGCCACCAACTCCACATGAACGCAGCCACCATCTCCACATTAACCCAGCCACCACCTCCATATTAACCCAGCCACCACCTCCACATTAACCCAGCCACCATCTCCACATTAACCCAGCCACCACCTCCACATTAACCCAGCCACCACCTCCACATTAACCCAGCCAGCACCTCCACATTAACCCAGCCACTACCTCCACATTAACCCAGCCACCACCTCCACATTAACCCAGCCACCACCTCCACATTAACCCAGCCACCAACTCCACATGAACGCAGTCACCACCTCCACATTAACCCTGCCACCACCTCCCCATTAACCCAGCCACCACCTCCACATTAACCAAATCAGCACCTCCACATAAACACAGCCACAACCTCCACATGAATGTAGCCACCACCTCCACATTAACCCAACCACCATCTCCACATGAACGTAGCCACCCGTTCACCACTTCCACATTAATTCAGCCACCACCTCCACATTTACCCAGCCACCACCTCCACGTAAACCCAGCCACCAACTCCACATTAACCCAGCCACCACCTCCACATGAACGCAGCCACCACCTACACATTAACCCAGCCACCACCTCCACATTAACCCAGCCACCAACTCCACATGAATGCAACCACCACCTCCACATTAACCCAGCCATCACCTCCACATTAACCCAGCCACCACCTCCACATTAACCAAGCCACCACCTCTTATGTGAACCCAGCCACCACCTCCACGTGAACCCAGCCACCAACTCCACATGAACGCAGCCACCATCTCCACATTAACCAAGCCACCATCTCCACATTAACCCAGCCACCACCTCCATATTAACCCAGCCACCACCTCCACATTAACCCAGCCACCATCTCCACATTAACCCAGCCACCACCTCCACATTAACCCAGCCACCACCTCCACATTAACCCAGCCACCACCTCCACATTAACCCAGCCAGCACCTCCACATTAACCCAGCCACTACCTCCACATTAACCCAGCCACCACCTCCACATTAACCCAGCCACCACCTCCACATTAACCCAGCCACCAACTCCACATGAACGCAGTCACCACCTCCACATGAACCCAGCCACCACTTCCACATTAACCCAACCACTACCTCCACATTAACCCAGCCACCACCTCCCCATTAACCCAGCCACCACCTCCACATTAACCCAGCCACCACCTCCACATTAACCAAGCCACCATCTCCACATTAACCCAGCCACAGGCGCTCCCTGTGAACATGGGGCAGCTCGTGCCGGACCTGGTCAAAGCAGTCGAAGATGCGAGGGAAGCGCAGCAGGCGGTTGAGGCGCACCACGGGGTAGTGCACGCCCGTGTACGCGTACAGGAGGTCGGTGGGGATGAGCGCCAGCGCGTCGAGGCAGAAGCGCGACGAGCGGACGTAGCGCTGGCGCATGCGGCCCACGTCCGTCACCAGCAGCCCGCACTCCATGAAGCCTGTGGCACACGGGGGCCCGCGCGCTCATCTTCTGTTGTATGTACGTACGGTGTATGTACGATGTATGGATGTTTAATTTATTTCGCACCGTACATAGCCAACCGTGCTAATTCAGAGGTGCTGGGTTGCGATGGGTTTGGACCCACGAACACTCTCCTATTATGGAGAACACTCGTCTGTTAACGTCGAGAGCGTCCATGCGTTACCAGTGTCCGTCCATCTTGACCCCAGGATCTCATTGGTGCTGGCTCTGACCTCTGACCCTTGAGTCAGCTGTCCATCTCTCCGTCTGTGAGCTGCGTCCTTTCTCAAAGACGTCGATGATCACGGATCGTGGCCTTGCTTCAATTCAACTCCGTGCATGATGTTCACTGACAAACTCTGCATTGGTTATTCCTCGCAGTAGAATCGAATCATTCAAATTGCTCGCGTAACTTAACTTTCTGTCTTCCCTGCCTTGGGCCTTCTCGTGCTCCCAGTCAGAACGTATTCATGTTCAGTCTCTTGCTTTCTCATGACACGTCCAAGAAATGTAACTTCGCCTTTCTTCAAATTATTCTCATTAATATTCTTGTTGTGTACCCTGATTCTATCCATAACACATTCACGTCACTCACCTTGTGTCTGTCAAGACCTGACATTTCTAGCAGTATTTCTCTTAAACAGAAAATGACACATTTGTCACTTCTCGGTTCGCTGGAAGCCAAATTTATCATCGATGCTGCGCCAACACGGGGCTACAATGCCCGCACGGTGGAGTCAACGCACTGCGGTTGTACATCGCACGCCACGCTCTGGTGTCCGTCGCACGTTCGAGAGATGTCGAACGTTGCATGAACAGACGTGAAGACGCAAACACGTCTTCAGGTAATTTACGTGTACACACACTGATCCATGGGAGCTTACAACATTCAAATGCCATTTAATTTGAGCAAAGACGGTTTGGTTGTATTCCGTGCAAATGAGTGTGTTCGTCTGTGCCGTCCATGTTTGCTCGTTCAATGCAACTGTCCGTTCCGTTCGTCCCATCCGGTTCCAATTGTGTTATATTTCGTCTCTCCCTATCCGCCCGCCTGATTCTCACTCTCACGATAGCCTCACCACTCGTGTGGGCGTGAAGCATTTAGGATGCATGCAAATTACACGCGGATTGTGGAGGAACAATTCTGTACAAACGAGACAGAACAAACGAGGAACGCAAACGGGATGGTAAAAACACAAGACGTGTAGACCAGAACACTTTCTCTGCATCGCGACAACTCCTGAGACCTCCTCCCCGGGTAACGCCGAATTCGTGCCACAAACATGCCGCGAACGTGCCACTTACCTTTCCTGCTCAGGAGCACCATGTCCACCAGGTTGACAGCGTCCGACACATAGTCCAGGGTGAGCCACACCGGCAGAAACTTCACCTGCACGTCCATGAAGCTCACTCTGCACACACGCACATACCACGCACACCACGCACGCAACACGCTCACATCACGAACGCACCGCGCACGCACCACACACCACACAAACCACACACCATGCACATACACACCACGCACACATACAGTGAGGGAAAAAAGTATTTGATCCCCTGCTGATTTTGTACGTTTGCCCACTGACAAAGAAATTATTAGTCTATAATTTTAATGGCAGGTTTATTTGAATAGTGAGAGGCAGAATAACAACAAAAAAATCCAGAAAAACGCATGTCAAAAATGTAATAAATTGATTTGCATTTTAATGAGGGAAATAAGTATTTGACCCCCTCTCAATCAGAAAGATTTCTGGCTCCCAGGTGTCTTTTATACAGGTAACGAGCTGAGATTAGGAGCACACTCTTAAAGGGAGTGCTCCTAATCTCAGCTTGTTACCTGTATAAAAGACACCTGTCCACAGAAGCAATCAATCAATCAGATTCCAAACTCTCCACCATGGCCAAGACCAAAGAGCTCTCCAAGGATGTCAGGGACAAGATTGTAGACCTACACAAGGCTGGAATGGGCTACAAGACCATTGCCAAGCAGCTTGTGGAGAAGGTGACAACAGTTGGTGCGATTATTCGCAAATGGAAGAAACACAAAATAACTGTCAATCTCCCTCTGCCTGGGGCTCCATGCAAGATCTCACCTCGTGGAGTTGCAATGATCATGAGAACGGTGAGGAATCAGCCCAGAACTATACGGGAGGATCTTGTCAATGATCTCAAGGCAGCTGGCACCATACCAAGAAAACAATTGGTAACACACTACACCTTGAAGGACTGAAATCCTGCAGCACCCGCAAGGTCCCCCTGCTCAAGAAAGCACATATACATGCCCGTCTGAAGTTTGCCAATGAACATCTGAATGAATCAGAGGACAACTGGGTGAAAGTGTTGTGGTCAGATGAGACCAAAATGGAGCTCTTTGGCATAAACTCAACTCGCCGTGTTTGGAGGAGGAGGAATGCTGCCTATGACCCCAAGAACACCATCCCCACCGTCAAACATGGAGGTGGAAACATTATGCTTTGGGGGTGTTTTTCTGCTAAGGGGACAGGACAACTTCACCGCATCAAAGGGACGATGGACGGGGCCATGTACCGTCAAATCTTGGGTGATAACCTCCTTCCCTCAGCCAGGGCATTGAAAATGGGTCGTGGATGGGTATTCCAGCATGACAATGACCCAAAACACACGGCCAAGGCAACAAAGGAGTGGCTCAAGAAGAAGCACATTAAGGTCCTAGAGTGGCCTAGCTAGTCTCCAGACCTTAATCCCATAGAAAATCTGTGGAGGGAGCTGAAGGTTCGAGTTGTCAAACGTCAGCCTCGAAACCTTAATGACTTGGAGAAGATCTGCAAAGAGGAGTGGGACAAAATCCCTCCTGAGATGTGTGCAAACCTGGTGGCCAACTTACAAGAAAAGTCTGACCTCTGTGATTGCCAACAAGGGTTTTGCCACCAAGTACTAAGTCATGTTTTGCAGAGGGGTCAAACACTTATTTCCCTCAAAATGCAAATCAATTTATAACATTTTTGACATGCGTTTTTCCGGATTTTTTTGTTGTTATTCTGTCTCTCACTGTTCAAATAAACCTACCATTAAAATTATAGACTGATCATTTCTTTGCCAATGGGCAAACGTACAAAATCAGCAGGGGATCAAACACTTTTTTCCCTCACTGTACACACACCACGCACACACACACACACCACGCACGCACCACGCAGAAACACCACACACACCACACACACACTACACACGCACGTACTACACACCACACACGTACTACACACCACACAAACCACACACACAACGCACACACCACGCACACACACACTACGCACACATACACGCTCACGCATGCACACACACACCAAAGATGAAGATCCCCGTATAGCCTGAACAGACTTTTGGGGAAAGTGCTGTTAGCGAGTAAGTACCTATGGAGGCCGATATACGCCCAACCGCCTTTGTCTTCCGAGTGGCGATATTTTACACACAGCACCAGATACTCTTTTGAGGCTGAGTCGATCTAGGGGAGGCCCAGGACCGGTTGAGATAATGCTCACTGGTATTGACGGTGAGCAGGAATGAAACTCGGGTCTCCGGGTTCTTAGCACAGCGCGCTAACCACGACACTACCGCTCCCCACACACCGCCCATGCACGCACGCACACACACGCACAAACAAACGCGCACACACACGCACCACACACACGCACACACACCATACACACACGCACACACAGCACACACACCACACATACACACCACACACACCACACACACCACACACAAACGCACCACACACGCGCACACACACGCAAAACACACACGCACACACACACGCACCACACACACCATACGCCCCACACACACACCACACACGCACCACACACTCCACACACACGCACCACACACACCGCACACGCACGCACGCACCACACACACCACACACACGCACACACACACCACACACGCACCACACACACCACACACCGCACAGACCACACACACGCACGCACCACACACCACACACTCACCACACACACACGCAACCACACACACCACACACACCGCACACACCACACACACACGCACCACACACCACACACACCACACACACACGCACACACACCACACACACGCATGCACGCGCCACACACCCCACACACACGCACACACACCATGCACACACGCACACACAGCAGACACACCACACATACACACCACACACAAACGCACCACACGCGCACGCACACGCACAAACACACGCGCACACGCACACACACCACACAAACCACACACACACGCACCAGACACACCACACACATACGCACCACACACACCATATGCACCACACACCACACACACGCACCACACACACACCGCACACACCACCCACGCACGCACCACACACACCACACACACACGCACACACACACCACACACACACCACACACACACGCATGCACGCACAAACACCAGACACACGCACCAAACACACCACACACACCACATACACACGCACCACACGCACCACACACACGCACGGACCACACACACTACACACCACACGCACCACACACACACTCACCACACACCACACACACACGCACCACTCTCACCACACACCACACACACACGCACCACACACACCACACGCACCACACCCCACACACACACGCACCACACACACCACACACAAGCACCACACACCACACACACCACACACACACGCACCACACACACGCACGCACACACACCACACACACACGCACCACACACACCGCACACACCACACATACGCACACACCACACACACCACACACCACACACACCACACACACACGCACCACACGCACGCACCACACACACCACGCACGCACCACACACACCACACACGCACGCACCACACACACCACACACACACCACACACACACACACCACACACACGCACGGACCACACACACCACACACACCACACACCCCACACGCACACACCACACACGCACCACACACACCACACACACCACACACACCACACACGCACACACACCACACACACACGCATGCACGCACAAACACACCACACACACACGCACCAAACACACCACACACACACGCACCACACACACCACACGCCACGCACACTACACACCACACGCACCACACACACACACTCACCACACACCACACACACGCACCACTCTCACCACACACACACACGCACCACACACACCACACGCACCACACCAAACACACACACGCACCACACACACCACACACACCACACACACGCACCACACACCACACACACCACACACACACGCACCTCACACACGCACGCACACACACCACACACACCACACACACACACGCACCACACACACCGCACACACCACACATACGCACACACCACACACACCACACAACCCAGACACCACACACACCACACACACCACACACGCACGCACCACACACACCACACACACACCACACACTACACACACACCACACACACACACGCACCACACGCACGCACCACACATACCACGCACGCACCACACACACCACACACACCACGCACGCACAACACACACCACACGCACCACACACACCACACACAACACACACACTACACACACCACACACACACCACACACCACACACACGCACGGACTACACACACCACACACACCACACAAGAACCACACACACCACACACACACCACACACACCACACACACCACACACACGCACGGACCACACACACCACACACACCACACACGCACCACACACACCACACACACACCACACACACCACACATCACACACACCACACACACCGCACACATTCCACACACACACGAACCACACACACCACACACACCACACACACCACACACCGCACACACCACACACACACGCACGCACGAACCACACACACACACCACACACACATGAACACACACCACACACACACGCATGCACGTACCACACACACCACACACACACGCACACACACCATACACACACGCACACACACCATACACACACGCACACACACCATACACACACGCACACACAGCACACACATCACACATACACGCCACACACGCGCACACACACGCACAAACACACGCGCACACACACGCACACACGCACACACACCACACACACACCACACACACACGGACCACACACACCACACACACACGCACCACACACACCATACGCATCACACACACCACACACCACACACGCACCACACACACCACACACGCACCACACACACCACACACACCACACACCACACACACCACACACACACGCACCACACACACCACACACCACACACACGCACGGACCACACACACCACACACCACACACACCACACGCACACACCACACACGCACCACACACACCACACACACACCACACACGCACACACACC